CAATTATTGAAAGCAAAATCCAATTTCCGACTTGGGCAAATTATTAGAAAATTTGACAATTTTGAAGTATTAATTATTGACGATATATCCTATGTAGCTTATAGCCTAGAAGAAACTGATGTGCTCTTTACGTTGCTAGCTGAACGTTATGAAATGCGCAGGGTCGTAATTACCAGCAATTTAGTCTTTGCAAAATGGAATACTATTTTTAAAGACAATAAATGACTACCTCAGCTGCTATTGACAGACTAGTTCATCATTCTACGATGCTTGAACTAAATACTGAGAGTTATAGAATCGCTACTGCTAAAGTAAAAAAATTAACTTTAAAATCGAAGGACATAATGGGGTTCAAAGCACAAATCCCCGCCGACAAACCGTCATATTCTATAAGCCTTTTATCTAAGAGTTTAACAATTTTGCTAGCATCCTTATCAAAATTACTTTTTTGTACAGTACCAACTAGCTTACCTAATACTTGTCCTTGAGAAATCTTGAGTGCGAGAGCATCTTTGGTGCGCTGGCTTGTTAGATCACGTTCAAGATCTGAAAACAATGCAAACAACGTAATTGTAACTTTAAAATTCATATCATGCTTGCTAATATCAAGGTTCTATTTAAGAATTACTACCCTGATACTTCTTGCAACTAGTTCATTAACCAGTTCTATGACTTTAGGTGTACTTCTACCGAGCCTACTGAGCTCTGTTACAATCAACATGTCGGTACTAGAGGGTTTTCTAAAACTTCTTCTATTCTTCTCTGTTTTGGAGTTATTTTAGGCGACCTTTGAATCTCAACGAACTCTTTTATCTTGAGATTTTTTTTTTGTGCATATTCTAGTATTGCAAGTTTTTGATTATTTAGCTTCTGTTTATCTGTTGAGGTACGAGTATAAGCTTTAATTTTAGGCATTTTAGAGCCTGTTAAGTTTTAACTCTAGTTTTATATGAAAAATATACATAGTATATATACTATGTAACATATAAGATATCTGCAAAATAGCAATATTTTAACGGCCGTTATGTTTTATACAAAAATTATGACTTTACGGGTACAGACTACAAACGCATTTAGATTTTAAGTGAAGCTGAAATAAGCGATCTTTATTCTATACCACCAATTACAATAGAGGAAAGGATTGTTTATTTTTCCTTAAACAAGCAGGAAAATCTGCTCATTCAAAAAATTCCTGATTTTCTTTCTAAAGTTCACGCAATATTGCAGCTGGGCTATTTTAAAGCAAAAGGACGGTTATTTTCTTTCAAATACCAGGATGTTGTACCGGTCATAGATTACATACTGGATAAATATGAAAGTAATTTACTTAAGGCAAGAAAAGAAGAAACCAACAAGAGAATTCTTGCTTTACTGAACTATAGAAATTTTGACGCCAAAGCACGCAAAGAACTTGTTCAACAGGCATTACTTTTAGTGCGTATCCGTGCAAATCATATAGATATAGTTAGGGAATTACTATTATCCCAGATTCAAATAAAACAGATTGTCCTACCGGGTTACACCATATTACAGAATATCATCAGCCTATCCATCAGCATAGAGTTTAAACGTATAGAAAATATTATACGGAATAATATACCAAAGGGTTTTGACACCTTATTATCCGGCATGACTAAATTGGAGTCTGCAATAAATTTGCCGATCCTCAGGGTAGAACTGAAAAACTTTAAACAAACAGAGCTCAAAGCAGTATCCGCCAAGTCCCGTACGTATTTAGAATATAATAAACTATCTAAAAAACTAATAGATAAATTTGAAGTATCACCTAAATGTATCAGATATTACGCTAGTATCGCAAATGAGTATAATATTTACAGATCAGAGCAACTTAGCAAAGCGCTTAGAAAGCTTTTTCTGTTATGTTACATTAATCAAAAATACAAAGAAGTCATCAACAATTTGGTTACCGGCTTTATCTACTATAATAACAACTTTATTCATGAGGCAAACGAATATGCTAATAAGCAATTCATGCTCCATACAATTTATTATAACAATATTTTACCCAAAGTCAGCAAGTTATTAAAATGTATGGGATGCGATGCAGAACAAATGGAATATAAAAGTTTCTGGCAAACTGCGTATGATATTCTGCCTAAAAATCAACATATACCAACAGAAGAATATATTTTAAGGCAAACATTTGATTTTCAGTCTGCTAAATGGGAATTCTATGTTAATAAGGCTAAGCGTATCAAGGCTAATCTTCGCATGCTATTCAGATCGATAGAGTTTTGCAGTATTGAAAAGGACGATGATTTATTGCAAGCAATATTATTCATTGAGGGATGTGTTTGATAAAGACTTGTCCTTGAGCAAGGTAACTACAGATAAAATTCCTGATAAATTTATCCCCAAAAGTATCATAAAGTATCTACGCATTTCAAAAAATGATAATACTGCTAAATCTGAAAGTACAAAACAAACAAGAATAAACTCAGACAAAGCTACTATGATCAATGCTTATCATCCTGATAAATTTGAGTTTTATCTATACCAATCTATTGTGAAAGAAATTGATACAGAATTTATTTTTTGCAACGAAAGTACCAAATACAAAAGCTTAAGTGCAGATCTTGTCTCTGGTAAGGTATGGCAAAATAACGACGAACTTATACAAAAACTTAACTACCCTAATATCGCAGTCAATGTAAAACAAAGACTTGATGGGTTAGAGGTAAAACTTCATACAAAAATCCTAGTAGTGAATAGAAAAATTGCCAGTAAAGAAAACAGTTGCATTAAAATAAAAGAAAGCAAGACTAAAGATGATAAAGTTGATAAGAATAGTAAAACGCACCACAAATGGCATATAATCATTCCTACAATAGAGGAGAAAGATGACATATTCTTTGCTATGGTACCAAGTATCAATATTAGCGAAGTACTATACTTTATCAATGAACCAACCAACTTCTGTGAAGCTTTTTATCATATCAAACCACGTAGTTCTAAGCAAAGAGCTGATGACGAAGGAATTATTGCGTGCATTGTAGCCAACGGGTTTAGCTTTGGTACTTATCGCATGTCGCGAAGTTGAGATATAAGCTATAGTATTCTGAGTAATATATAAAAAAACTTTTTGAGAGGATTTACGTGAAGGTAGCGATATTATCAGTAACAAAATAGCAAGTCTGAAAGTTTTTAATTTGTTGAACATTTTGACAGATAAATTACTTGCTGCAGTAGATGGTCAAAAGTTTGAAACAAGGCTAGATACTATGCAATCTAGATACTCTCCAAAATATTTTGGCTTAAGAAAAGGTATTGTCCCATTTAGTATGGTGCTCAACCATGCACCAATCAATTGCAAGATTATTGGCGCCAACGAACATGAGAGCCATTATACCTATGATATTAAATATAATAATACTTCTGAAGTTGAGCCAGACGCGGTATCAGGAGACATGCATTCAATTAACAGAGTCACTTTTGCTGTGCTTGGTTTCATAAGTAAATTATTTATGCCAAATTTTTCTGATCAAGAAGAACAAGTTAAAAGTCTCAGGAGTATGAAACATTTGGTCTTTTATTAAGACTGCTTTATCAAACCTACTAAACTCGCCAATAGAAAACTTATAATAGAGGAATAGGAAAATATTCAAAGGATTTTTGAATCACTTGCTATCCAAGAGTCAACACAAGCTACAATCATAAGTAAGTTGTCATCTCATAAAAGATATAGCAGAATTAAAATAGCCCTTTGGGAATATGATTCAATACTGAAAGCATCTGCTTACTGGATTTTATAGATAACGAAATAATGCGGAGTCAAATCCGTAAAACTTTAAATAGGGTCTTAGCACCAGCTACGTAAAGATATAGCAAAAGTACATAGTGGAAAGTTCAGAGGACAGACTATTGTAGAGAATGAGGTATGGAATCAATGCTCTACATTACTAGCAAACTCTATAGTACTGTACCATGCAATTATACTAGATAAACTACTTGCAGAGTGCATTGCACAAGAAAATATAGAAGAAATAAACTATTTAAAGAGCATCTCACCAGTAAGGTGGGAACAAATAAACTTTATTGGCAAATATGTATTCCTACAACCAAAAAGTACAACAAATATTGAGGACATAATTGCACAGTTACAAAAGAACCTAAAAACAATCTTATAAACCTAGAGATATAAAGTATACAGGGCATTTCGATTTATCGGCGGGGATTTGGACTTAGAAGCCCATGATGTTATATACTAGACAATATTTTTTTGCTTAAAAATGGGTAACTTTAATATTCGTCGCAGCCAATTCTAATGTTCGTTAGTCAAACTTTTGGAAATTTCGCTATTATACCCTATTACAGAATCTGTTGATGTACTATCCTTACCACGTTTTGCAATTGAGCTAGTGAAAGAGAGCTAACACACCAACGGAGAGTTATTTCTGATGAAAACTTAATTTGTTTTTCAAAGCATTGTTTCTTTATTTCTTATACAATTTTTGGTGGACTTTTGAGAAGTAAGATAAGCAAGATTTGAGAAGTAGAAAAGTTTTTGAGGTGTAAGATAAAATTCATCAATTACCTGATTAATCAGTTCTTCCTGTTGCTTTGATAATCTTGATTTTCCCTTACCACCATTCGGTTTTTGCGGAATAATAGAGGTCATTAAACCACGCGATTGGCGATAGTTGCGAATTAATCTGTATACATTGCGTGTGGATATTTTAAGTTTGGTTGCAGCATCTTGAAGCATTTTTTGAGAAAAAATTTTGCTTTGAGCAAAGAGGAGCTATAATTTCTGCACGTTGTTCGCTCTGAATACATGTTTCTTCATTAATTCTAGAGACGTCATTCATATTTATCTGGCTTTTTACATATATTGAACTCTACTTTGATCAAATCATAATATATTGGACTTGCCTATGATGAAATTGAACTGATCTTTGATAATTTTAGAATGAATTTATAAGTATTATCATACAATCTGCTGAACTCCACATTAAAAATGACAATACACCTCTTCACAGTTTCGATAATTTCGTGCGCGCGCATTTTTAAATAGTTTGTTATTGTTCATTGTGCGCAGAATCGCATGAAAGAGTTTGATTTGTACTAATAAACTACAGAAGAAAGTCATTTATTTTAGTTAGTTTTTACTATTTTTAATTGTTTTAAACATGAAACCTCAAAGTTTGAAAAGAAAACGATCAATGGGATGTGCTGTATTTGATTGCAGCAGTAGCCAATATAATCTTGAGCTTTGGCGCAATGAATTTTGTGAGTTACACAAGGTCTTAAGAAGCAGTTTGACTTGCAGATGTTCGGAACCTTACAAGTATGTATACTACATATAATGTTATTTATCTAAAATTTAAACATCTGGCTAAACATGTATAAAGTGAATTAATGAATTAATGTTACATATTATGTGTAGACATTATGGAATAGGGGTATATAGTACCTATAATAATGTAATAATATCTGTATATAATAATATTATACACAGATATTATTAATATCTTCCTACAACATGTATAAAGTGAATTATATGTTACATATTATGTGTAGACATTATGGAATAGGGGTATATAGTAACTAAATAATAATGTAGGAAGATATTAATAATATCTGTATATAATAATATTATATACATATGTTATTAATATCTTCCTACATTATTATTTAGGTACTATATACCCCTATTCCATAATGTCTACACATAATATGTAACATATAATTTACTTTATACTTGTTTATATTATTAATATATTATATAATATTAATATTATTATATAATATAATACCTACATAGCCAAATAAGACATTTTGTAGGCCTAGGGCAAAACATGGTCTTAAGTAGCCTTAAAAAAATGACATGTAGTTACTTTCATGAAAATAAATACATACTATAGTATGTATTTATTTTCATAATATATGCCTTTTCATGCCTTTTCATGGCTAGTACTAGCCATGTATGGCACGCTGTTATTGATATGTAGGCATATATTGTATACCTTATTCCATAGTATGTCTACTTATATTTATACAATATGCCTATGTAATATGTCTACAATATTTCTGTATTTCTCCAATATATATACAAATTCTAAACAAAAAATTTATACACAAAAGATATTATATACCCCTATTCCATGACATATAAATATGCTTGAAAAAAGTCGAAGAAATTTGATTCGATTTTGTTATAGTTGTAGTTATTAGCCATTGTTTCTCTTGTCTTTATATTGTTGTTGATGTAGATGGTATCCATCTATTATTAGTTTTTTTTTTTTTCATGTCTTTATATTGTTGTTTATAGATGGTAACTGGTTATTCATCATCAGCTATAACCACATTTATATAAATTTTATATTCTGTAAAAAAAACCATTGGTTAGTGAGAACGACTGTGTTTAACTCATAATATAAGGAGTGTAAATCAGGAAATTCTATTAAAGATCCTGATAGATGACTTCTTTATTGTGATTTTTTTTACAGAATATAAAATTTGTATAAAAGTGGGGTATGACAACTTTGAATGCCCAATTGCTTGAAACTTATATAAAACTTATAAATAAATAATAATAAAAGATATATATATATATATATATATATATATATATATATATATATATATATATATGTACTAAAATCATTTGTATTTATAAATTATAAGCTATAAATTTGTAATTGAATAAATTTTATCTTTTTAGATTATTTGTATTTCCATCAGAAAAAAAATTGCCAGAAAAGCGTTTAAAGTGGCAGCAACTAATCAACCGTCAAAGCCCTACACGTCGAAATAAATACTGCAAAATTGGAGCCAACCACAGAGTATGCTCTAAACATTTTGTTGATAGTGAACCATCTGTAGAAAATCCATATCCAATTATTAATCTTGGTTACGATTCATCCAAAAAAATCAAAACTATTTTAACTGCACAATCTCTACGATCGCAAGTAAATAAAAAATTAGAGTTAAATTGTGATTCTTTACCATCTTGTGCTTTGCAATCTTCTTCTGCAACATCATTTTTACCATTGAATTCAACATTAAAATCTACTAATGATTCCATTTTTTTCTTGTCATCATCAAATTTTAAAAATACAGAAGACAAAAGTTATGTAGATTTTTCTATTATTAATACATCATTGAAGGACTTACACAAAGAATCATTGCAAGACCTACATGATGAATCATTACAAGACATACACGATGAATCATTGAATGACTTACACGAGAAGATAAATTTGAAAAAAGATATTAAACAAACTATTTTGGATAGCAGTAGTAATGATCTCCTTGCTAATGACTTATTATTTGAAAATTTAAGATTAAGAAAAGAAAATGGTTATCTAAGGAGCAAAAACAAAGCATTTCGTAAAAAAGCAAATATGTTTGAGAAACTTTATTTAAAAAACTCTAAAGATATTTATACTTTGCATACACAAGTCACCAAGTGCATTTGTAAGCAAAGTGTTTCAAATCGCATTTTGAAAACAAATAGTGATTGTGACTTTTTTACTGGGGTTCAAACATTAGCAGAGTTTAAATCTCTTCATAATATCATTTCACCATTTGTTCGCAGGCGTTGGCGTGGTACACTAAACACTACTCCTATTTCAAGAAAGTTTAAAAAAGCACCAAAGCAATTTGGGCCTCTGAGGAAGCTGTTAAGCGAAGAAGAATTTCTTTTGTTTTTAATGAAAATGCGTCTTGGATTATTAAATCGAGATTTAGCAGAAAGGTTTAAGGTTTCAGAAGCTTTAATTAGTTCTGTAACATCTTCTTGGCTTAAAGCATCTTCTGCAGTATTATCCCCGATTGTTTATATTCCTGATAAAGGTAACATTGTAAATACTCGCCCAGATCGTTTTATAAATTACAAAAATCTGCATTCTATTATGGACGCTACAGAATTTTTTATTGAAACTCCCAAAAATCCAGATCTACAAAAGTTAACATGGAGTGAATACAAGCACCATAACACAATAAAAGTTCTTGTTTGTATAGCTCCTAATTCTTCAATAATGTTTTTGTCTCATTGTTATGGAGGATCTATCTCAGACAAAGCAATTACTAATTTAAGTGCATATCTTGACAAAGTTCCACCTCATTCTCAAATTATGGTTGACAAAGGTTTCCTTATTAAAAAAGAATGTGACGCTCGACACATTATTTTAACTATGCCACCTGGAAGAAAAGGTTCAGAGCAAATGACACCTTCTGAAATTGTTAGCACGCAAAAAGTTGCAAATCTAAGGATTCTAGTAGAACAAGTTATTCGGAGGTTAAAGACTTTTAGAATTTTGGCTGGAGAATATCCAATTAACATGACAAGATGTTTTGATGACGTAGTTACAGTATGTGCTGCATTGTCAAACTTACGGAAAACTATATACTTGTAATGAAATTATAGACTACTATTCTATTTGCGTTCGCTTTTAATAGTATACAAAAATAATAATTTATCTGTTATCTGCATTTGTAGTATAGGTTGTGTTAATAAACATTGTATCTTAAATTATAAATGTTATCATTGTCAATATCTCGGAATATTTAAGAACTATTAAATAATATAACTCGAACCTCCGGTGGGACAAAGAAATTAGTTCAAGTTATCGGGAAATATTCCATTATAAAGGGTTGACAACAAACATTAAAATAAATTTATATTTTAGTTATGGTAGGTTAGGTGCATGGAGTGTATTTTTAATAATCTACCCTGCTCCACAAAATTCCTTTGCGCCGGTGCCCAACGCCACCAAAAATTCCGTTTCCGTTTTTATCTGTATGCATTTGTAGTATAGGTTGTGTTGATAAACGTTGTATCTTAATTTATATATATATATATATATATATATATATATATATATATATATATATATATATATATATATATATATATAAATTTATATACATTTATATATATATATATATATATATATATATATATATATATATATATATATATATATATATATATATACATTTATATATATATATATATATATATATTATATATTTTTTTTTTCTATAATCCCGGGATTATAGACAAATTCATGATCCCGAAATCCCGGGGTTTGTGTCTAAAATTTCCCGGAATTTCGGGATTGTAATAAATAAATAAAAAATTGACTAACCTTAATTTATTTAAAATGCCTAGTATATTTAAATTTTTGCTATATGATTTGTTATATAATATCTAATCTTAAAATGCATGTTATCATTGTTAGTATCTTGGAACCATAAATTCCGTTTCCGTCACTGCACGAAACTTATTTTTAACGTTTATTTTTAAGCTTGTACATTTGTACGAACAATTCAACCATTTGGTTAGTCGACAATTTGGTTGTGGAAGGCAGTACAAAGGTACTGCCTTCCACAACCAAAACCCATATAGTGTGCATAGATTTTAGTCATTGTATTTACTTTACTTTGAAAATATTTGCCTACAAATTCTCTACAAATTGCCTAAAAATTATAAAAGATTTCGATTGTTTAAATTGAATGAATTTATCATTTTTATTTGGATGTAAAATCATATAGAACATCAATAATGTTCTATATGGTTTTTAATAGAAATAGTAAAATAATCTTAGCTTTATAGATATGAAACTAACATTTACTATATCCTGTTTTGGTTAGAGATTTTTAATCAGTTTTTTAAATCATTAATTTAATTTTTTTAAACATTAATTTTAATCAGCACCCCTAGTCATTTAAAAAGTGAGAACTAATAGGATAACTAATAAGGGGCCATTCAAAAAGGAGGTCACTATACTTGAAAATGACGTTATAAAATCCTGATCCCCTCACCCTATTATTACCCAAATTTTTTATTTGATCTCACAATGATGTTTGATACAACTGCTGCACCTTTGAATTAAAATATTATCTTACATTCTCTTCATAAAAGTACATAGTTTTCTATGATAATAAAACTTAAATAAAAATCTTAAATAATAAAAATCTTAAATAAAACTTGGAACTTGGAAAAGGTGGAGGGGGGATGCTTTATGTCATCTGCAATACTTTGCAGCTGTTTTATCATAATTTCAATAGAATTTAATATGCTTTTCTTTGTTATCTTTTGGTGAGAAATAAACCAAGTTAATTTTCGGCAAATCGAGATGGTTTTTATAGTCTGTTTACACTAAACGTTTTTGTCAGTGACTCGGAAATTGTTTTCTAACTTTAAAGGCAAATTTTTAGATTTTTTTTTTTAGGTTTGAGATATATAAAATTTGTGCTGATAACAACAAAATTAATAAATGGGCGGGGGTGTCTAAATAAAGTTAGGGTGGGTGAGAAAAATATCCAAAAAATATTAAGAGGGGGAAGGAGAGGGAGGTTTATTAAGAAATCAAGAGTACATACCCCCATACACATGCGCACTTATTATTTCCTTCCACCACGCCTATTAACTTTACCACCTTAACAATTACCCGCCTTAACTGAGCTTAAAAGTGCTAAAGACCCTGACCCTGCACATTAAATGACACATTAAATCTTAGGTAAAGAAGACTACTTTTTCAAAAATAGACCCAGGCCCCCATAAATCCTAATTTGCCACTGAACTCAATAAAAAGATTCAAATATTTTTTGATTAAGTAAAAACTTTTTTTGATTAAGTAAAAACAAATTGTTCACATTCAATTGAGTTATCTTTACTGCTTTAAGAAGACATTTTTACATTCTTCACACATCCATGAATCATCATCTGATGGTATATCATTTGCAGTTTTTATTCCAACACAGTGAAAATGAAACCATGAATTGCATGTTTCACAAGCTACAGAATTTTCTTCAAAAGTTTCCGCTATATATGGAACAAGTTTTACACACACTGCAAACATACCTCGGTGTAGATAAAACTGGTATAAGAGATTTTGACTTTAGTGATTGTTTAGGTCGAGATATTTTTGCACGTTTAGTTGATACAAGTGACATTGGGGATTTTGACTTGAGTGATTTTTTTAGTGGCAATATTTTTGTCATTACAACTTCTCTGACATCAGAGACAGCACTTTTTAAGTTGTCTGATGGAGAGAACTGCTGAAGTTCATTACTGCTAGTATTAGTATAAAGAAGAAATGGTGCTAGATGATCATACCAAAATTCTAAAAGATTTTTTAGCATTCGTTCAAAAAATATTTTATCAAACAAAATACTCTCTAAGTAGTGGCCATGATGTGTAAAAACAAAGTACCATGCATGTAAAATGTTCAGAACTCCTAATTGACCCTGGATTTGAAAATAATGATCATGAGTCTTTTTTAAACAAACTTTTCCTTCTACATTTATATGCAATGAATTGTAGTTTAAAACGGTTGGTATAGTGTCTCTAATAATGTAAGGGCATTTTATCTCAACGCATCCAATACCGCAACAGCATTCAACAATAAGATCAGGAGAAGCTGAAATGAATTGAAACTTTTTATAAATTTGCATGCCTGAATCATAAAACTTTATATTTTTGTGACCATTTTCTTTTAGAATTTTTACCACTGCTCTTTTAGCATGAGCTTCTGTTGCAATACCATGTCTTGTTGCAAATGTTTCAAACTTGTTTATTTTAGTTATAGTTTTTAACAAAGCAGCAGAATCATGTTTACTTTCAATTCGGGTAAAAACTGATTTAAATTTAGAAGCAGTAATCCTGCCCTGGCGTTGGTTAAACCATATGCTTGATGAAGATTGCATTCGAGTTGCTTCTTCAATACTTTTAATCTGCATATCATTCAATGCTAAACTTTCTGTAAAACAATTTACATTTTCAGTCAATGATAAGTTGCTGTCAATCTTAAAATTATTCGCTGATTCAACCACACCTAATGGTAGGTTAACTTTAGATTTTTCCACTTTTTTGGATTTACCATTGTACAATTCAACAAAACAGCTATTGTGGGAAACATCTTTCAGGGATTTGTACAAATAGTCTCGAAACTGGTTTTTGTTACTTAGAAGTTGTTTTTGTTCGTCTGTACAAAAAACATATTCTTTTAATGATTTATTGGATTCTTCTATTTTTATTTCTGTAGGTTTATTTCCTTTTTTGTAATGATGTTTGTTAAATACAACATCGCAAAGTGGTTTGTGTGTTAAAACAGTTTTAATACCACTTGGAACCTTCCATTTTGCAAAAACACTAGTACATGACGGTTTCGTTGCCCCTGTACACACTGCAGCTTCAACTCGAAATAGCATTGCAATTACATGGTTGCAACAACCAAGAAGACCTGCAATACAAGTACAATATGCTGAATTGATTTCTCCTCCAGGTCTTTCATTATCTTTTTTAACTGCTGCCCAAACATGATAAGGTGTACTAGATGTACGCTGTGATGGTGTTACACGGGATTTGAGGAAACAAAAATCAGATTCTTCAGTTATTTCATGAAAATATATCTCTTTGACAAACTCGCATTTGTAGTAGCGGTAAGCTTTGCCTTCTTTATAGTCTGAATCTAAACGATTCATTAGCTCATCTGGCTGCTCAAGTTTTCGTAAGTATTTTTCTATATCAGTGTAGTAAATGGAAGGCCACTTGTATAACCCGCTCCCACTTTCAGAAAGCCAATTTTTCTTTAGTGAAAATGGGTCTGGAATCACACAGCCACGTAAAATGAGTTTTGACTTGTACTCGCATACTAGAAGCCTTTGGCGATCTTCACTTTCATTATCAATAGGTGTTTCATTTTCAATGGCAGAAAACACTCTAATAAAAGTTTAAAAATTTTTTATGTATAAATTAAAATATATGAATCATATATAATACATACATATGTTGTATAAATGTACATACATGGATATGTATATATTAGTAAAAGACAATTATAAACAAACTAAAAGTAAAAAATATAGTATAAAATTACAATGTATGAATATGTAGTACATGCATATATGAATCATATTATGATGCATCATATATTATGATACATATGTCATATATGTATAAATAAATGCATATATTATATGGATTTATGCATGTATTATATATTCATACATTGTATGTATTTTTGTATGTTGGATGTAGGCCCGTATATATATATGTTATTTTTACGTTTTTTTCTTACCTGAAAACCAAAGTTTCAAAATCACCATCAACATCTTTATTCCTCAATATTAAATACTCTTTAAGAGCTTTTTCACTCCACGTACGAATTCGTTCTAAGTTTATTTTATCCATGATCAAAAAAATTCTAAAACAGAAACTTATAAAAATCTAAACTTTGAATCATCTCATATAAAGCTAAATAAATATCCATATTATTAGAAAACTCACGTAAACAACTGTTTCTTTCAAGGATGCTTTCTTAATTTATCTGTTAATTTACTTCCTTTCATGCGATTCTGCGCACAATGAACAATAACAAACTATTTAAAAATGCGCGCGCACGAAATTATCGAAACTGTGAAGAGGTGTATTGAATCAGGTCTCTCTCCAACTGCTGTCGCCAAACAACTTAATATTGGTCGCTCTACAATATATCGTGAGCTTAAATATGCAAAATAAGTAATTTAGGTTAAATGCTTTAATTTTAACGTATACTTTATTATTTTATATTCGCCAAACTGGTCTTGGATAATCCGCTGAACTCCACTTTGAAAAATGACAGGAACGCAAGGTACAATTCATCAAGGGTTACTACTCTAACTAAGCACATCTACTTGATACCTTAATTCAACTTCCTTACCACAAAATGCAATAGCTATTTTGATAATCTTTTTAACATGCTCATATTCCTTTACCTTGGTCTCATAGCATCGAT